GTGCAATTGCTTACAGATTGGCAATGAACTTAGACCAAGCACATATACACTACAATGCAACAATCTCTCTGGAGTTATGAATGCAAGCTTAAGTACCCAGCAGTCACTTATTAATTTCATGATTTAATATCCCGAAAGTGGGCAGTGCACAAAATATGTACAAAGAAAAAAAGAGAGTTACAGAAAATACAAAAAAAAACACACAATTGGCTCTTCACTATGAAATAAAAAGGGAATAAAAACAGAAATAAAACTTTTACCAAGATTTATCCTGCGACTGGGGCAAGTCAAAGAAAGTCTGTGATCCGCCAGTCAGATGGAACCGTCTCCATACGAATCACTCCGCCCATATCTCAGGGTCCTCAATTTATTGAAATATGGATGTGGGCTGGACTTTAGCCCTTGGTCAATCAACCCTGGGGGTGTTTCTGAACCAGCCCACAGGACATTCTGTGTTCTGAAGTGTCCAATCTCGATGGGACAGAAACAGTCTAGATCACTGGGTCAGGGATAGGATTTCCGACACCAGCGCATCATTCCGATCGCAACAGTATCAATCATTGTTCAGCTGTCGCAATCAGGCACCATATAGCCATGTTGTGTGTTTCTCCGGGATTCTACAGAGGCTACAAATACAGTTTTACATGTAGATGTGTCCAATCAGAAGGAAATATTTTCATATCTCCGTAACTAATATTTTAGCTTTTATGAGAGATTAAATAGATTCCTCTGATCTGTGGATATCAATCAGAGCTGGCAGACATTTCAGAGCCCTCTCCTGGTCCTAAAAAGGCTAGAGCTCTTCTTTTAAATTTCAAGAAGGTGGTAAACCCTGGCTACACAAGTGACAATGTTTTATTGGCATCTACAGTAGGTGTCACCTCTAGCCTGGAAGCTGCTCTGTTCTTTGAGATGCTAATTGGTGAACATATGTCTATGACTGAATAATGAACACTTATCTGTAATAACAGGGAACTAAACTAGATCTAAAATTACATATTTCTACTGATCATACCACATCTCAACTACCCGACTCTTACATTTATGGTACACTTTTTCTTCTCTCTCTTTTTCTCCCTCCCTCTTTTTATTTCTCTCTCTCTTTCTCCCTCTCTTTCTCTCTCTCTCCTTCTACAGCTCGCTCTCTTTCTTTCTTTCTTTCGCTCCCTTTCTCTTTTTTTCCCCCTCTCTTTTTTTCGCTCTCTCATTTGCGGGGGGGGGGGGGGGGGGGGCACATATCCAAGGCAAGATTATAGCCTGCATTAAAGAGGCAGTAAATTCATCAAAGACTTGCAGAGGCAGTAAATTCATCAAGGTTTAGAAAATAAAATGGGGAAAATTAATCTGTCCAACCACAAAATTAAGTCATCAATCCACTTGCAGCTCTCACAGGCACAACCTGTCTGTTCCCCAGGCTCCCGAGCGCTGATTCTGAGCTTCAGGTGATACTGTGAGAGCTGCAAGTGGATTGATAAGACTTAAATTTGTGGCTGGCCAGATTCATTTTCCCCATTTTATTTTCTAAACTTTGATGAATTTACTGCCTCTTCAATGCAGGCTATAATCTTGCTTTGGATATGTAAAGGAGGAAATACAATACTGGTGGGTGCACAAGATGAAACTGTTCTGAAATCCTGGCCATAACATGGAAGAAAGTTGCATAAAAACCCCCATTCTTATGAAGTTGAGAAAAAAGGGTCCCTTTGTCCAGCATATCTCTTCCTCATGTTTCTCCATTTAGACAAGGATCTTTCTCAGAATGCTATAATGGGATAATAACCAGATTAAAAAAAAAAAAAAAAAAACCTATATACAACCATACACCACATTGGGGCTTAGGTCTGATGGAGGAGCTTACTGCGCAAGCTCTGAAACACGTTACCTCCCCCATCTCCTGTCCATGCCTCATTTTGGAAACAGAGTCATCCCTTCTCTAGCTTCCTGACTCTCACGGACTGTGCTGCCGCTGGACGGCTGGATGTTCTACCAGGAACTACAGATATTATACGATGAGCCTTTTAACACTTTTTTCTCTGTAAGTGCAATTCATAAATTGTCTATTATTAAATTGTCAATACTACACCTAGAGGCGCCTTCCTTTTCTTTATGTTCATTGCATTAGAGCCTTGCCTCCACTCTAAGAAGAGCTGCCTCAGTGTTATTGCTTCCATCCATCCATCCCTGATATCCATCCGGCACCTCTAACCGATAGCCACAGAGGTTGTGTTCTCGAACGAGAGCTCCCTATGGAAAATATATTTTCTGCTGCCTGGATCAAGTCAGCATTAGGGCAGGAGCGTACGGATGACATCATGATGTTGCCATTCATCCAAAAAGCAGTAGTAGCTTTCCGCACATCGCTCCAGGACTGTCATATCTGCAGGGAATTGAAGTTATTATTAGGGCCTGTGCATTGCCTTGCAAATACACTTTGGATATGTTTATTCTGCTGGGGATGATACTGCCATCTTGTGCCTAATTAGTACATTACTGGATGTTTACCACACATGGTGCAGATATGGACCTTCAGAACGTGAGTGCATTTCTTATATTTTTAATGTGCAATAAAAGTTTTAAAGGGTAAAGCACTATTGTGAGTTTTTTTTTAATGAGGAACACGGCTGAGCCTGAGTCGGTCATCTGGAGGGACCATCCTTTGGAGCTATTATTCAGCTATTTCATCTTCAGAGTCCACATATTTGGGACCAAAAGCGTAGTCAGACCAAAACATTGTATAATGTGTGGTCACATTGCTGGAGGTGAGCAGATATATGGTGGAGGATGTTTTGCACTGGAATTCCTTAACAGATTCACACGGTGGTCGTTATACCAAGGAGGGTTCATGAGAGAACACAAACTTTTGGACTGCAATATATAATTTTAATTTTTTTTTATATATATTGTTTATATTTTTTGGGGGGACTATATATTTATTTTATTTTTTTGGTGTCATTGTTTTTTGTTTTTTGCTATCACCATTCTTTGCTTATATATTTTAGAGGTGTGTGCATATTTAGATGTAGCGCAGCAATATTTCATTGTTATTATTCAAGTCAGCATTGTTACTGTTCCGAGGCACTCTAATTCTTTCTGTAAATACTGTGACCATAAGATTTCCTACATTGCACAACTTGTAAAATTAAATGTTCTGAAACAGCATTAAGAATTTCCAATATGTTGCAAAAAATGGTAAACAATATTTCAAATTTTTTAGCTTTTATAAATAGTTTATACAGATTCCTGAAATTGTCTGCTTGAGGTGATTGTAGCCGTATTAGTGCACTCGTGACAGAAACAATTGAGTACTGTCCATGATACTTTTTTATTTGCACAAACATACAATTCTTAGGACAGGTTTCGGGGTATGTCCCCTTCTTTTTTTCTAACCATTCCTGTGTACATCTTTTTGTGTGAGTTTTTTGTTTGTTTTTTTTTCCCCACAGAGATTGTTTCTTTTAATATTTTGCTAAAACTTTGTGAAATGCTACTGCTTGGACCTTGAAGAAGGGGACATACCCTAAAAGCTTGTCCTAAAAATTGTACCTTAGTGCAAATAAAAAAAATATCACGGACAGTACTCAATTGTTTCTGTCAAATTATCTGCAAACTGTAAGAACAGTTTCCCATATAATAAATATGAAAATTGTAATTTTGTGTTATTGCAGGTGGAAATCAGACACTTACTCGCCTTACAAATGACCACGTTGAACTATCTGTTAAACGGAGGTGGTCAGTGCCAACAGGAAGCATCATCTGGCATTTGGAAGCTAACAGGATGAAAATTAAGATAGCGGAGTTTGAAAATAATATTTTGATATTTCGCCATCCACAATACAATAAACGTCTAGAACTATCTAATGATGGAAAAAAACTACATATCAAAAACCTAAGGATGGAGGACAGTGGGAGCTATGTGTGCACAATCACCCTGACAAACCATGAACAGCATAAAGAAAAGTTTAATCTTGTGCTTTATGGTATGTACTCCCATTAATTGCTTTAATAAATCTTAACATGCAGAGAATATTTAAATACATTTTCTTTAATTATCCTATTCAGAATTAAAAGATATTTGTTTTTAATTTCCTTTTAGTCAGGTAAATATTAAATGTGATCATTTGCTTTTTATCCCTCTATACAATATGTGGACTTTCAGTTAGACAGAGGCAGTAAAAACAGGACACAGTGCTGGGCTTTCCTATAAAAAAAAGTTTGCTCTACACAGTGTCATGGGAGCTTCCTGGTTTATTTGTAAAATATAGATTCTATACAAGTAATCAAAATATTTAAAAGATCACTTTGTAAACTTGTAAACTTTTTTCCCTCTAGCTTTGTAGACCAATCCCTGTTAGGTCTACAGGACAGGAAAAGTATGGAAATCTTCAGCTGGAAAAACATGACCGAGGTTTTGATCATTTCTTTCCCTAAAGAAGATGTGGCTGGAAATGTGTTGCCTTAAGATATACTTTAAGGGGTCCTTATCAAGACCTATTTATTCAGTTTTATGCTTGTGAGCCACTCCCATATATTTACATTGATTTGCGGTTATTTAACCTCTTCACGCCGGCCGGCCGAATGCAAATGTGCGGCCTCCTGGCATCTGGGCCTAGACGCTGAGCAGCCGTACATTTGCGTTCTATTAAAAAAGGACATATGTGCTGAGAGCGCGCACCCTGCGCGCTCCCAGCACACATGTCCGGTACTCACGGAAAGGTCCCGGTCTCCTCTTTCGATCGGGACCTTTCCTGATCATGTGACCGCTGTGACGACGCATCACGGCGGTCTCATGACCCCTACACCCCGCCCATCCCGCCTCCCGGCTTCTGAAACTCTTAAAGGGCCAGGAGGCGCCAGTGTGAAGGGGTTAAGTGAGACCAAAAAACTAGATTTTTTGTGCAAGTCATACACTATATTGCCAAACGTATTGAGATACCCCACCAAATCATTGAATTTAGGTGTTCCAATCACCTCCATGGCCACAGGTGTATAAAATTAAGCACCTAGGCATGCAAACTGCTTAAACATTTGTGAAAGAATGGGTCGCTCTCAGGAGCTCAATGAATTAAAGTGTGGTACCAACATAGGTTGCCACCTGTGCAATAAGTCTATCCGTGAAAATTCCTTGCTACTAAATATTCCACGCTCAATTGTTAGTGGTATTATAAAAAAGTGGAAGCAACTGGGAACAACAGCATCATGGTCAGTGCACGCTGAAGCAGAGTCAATAACTAAAGACCTCCAAATTTTGTGTGGCCTTCAGCTTAGCACAACAGTGCATAGAGAGTTGCATGGAATGGGCTTCCATGGCCGAGCAGCTGCATCAAAGCCTTACATCACCAAGTGTAATACAAAGTATTCGATGCAGTGGTGTATAGCATGCCACCACTGGACTCTAGAGCAGTGGAGATGTGTTCCCTGGAGTAGCCAATCATGCTTCTCTGTCTGGCAATCTGATGGAGATGTCTGGGTTTGGCAGTTGTCAGGAGAAAGGTACTTGCCTGACTGCATTGTGCTAAGTGTAAAGTTTGGTGGAGGGGGGATTATGGCGTGGGGTTGGGCTTGGCCCCCTTAGTTCCAGTGAAGGGAACTTTTAAGGCATCAGAATACCAAGACATTTTTGCCAAATTCATGCTCCCAACTTTGTGGGAACAGTTTGGGAATGGCCCCTTCATGTTTCAACGTGACTGTTCACAAGTGCACAAAGTTAGGTCCATAAAGACATGAATGACCGAGTTTGGGGTGGAGGAACTTGACTGGCCTGCACAGATTCATGACCTCAACCTGATAAAACACCTTTGGGATGAATTAGAGCGGAGACTATGCGCCAGGCCTTCTCGTCCGACATCAATGCCTGACCTCACAAATGTGCTTCTGGAAGAATGGTCAAACCTTTCCATAGACACCCTCCTAAACCTTGTGGACGGCCTTCCCCCAGGAGAGTTGAAGCTGTTATAGCTGCAAAGGGTGGGCCAATTTAATACTGAACCATTCGGACTAAGATTGGGATGCCATTAAATTTAATGTACGGGTAAAGGCAGGTGTCTTTATACTTTTGGCAATATAGTTTGTGTAAAAAAAGTTCCCATGAAACCGCTAACAATCAGGCAATAAGTAAAATATTTTCTAGTGATACCAAGAGGTTCTTAGGGTTCCACAGTCTTATGAATTCCTCTTTCAGATACAATTGTAAAATGACCTTAGTAGTTTGGAAAGCTTGACTGCTTGTAGATGGGTTGCCTATTTCAACCTAGTTAGGTGCTGCCCCAGCCAGAAGGGATTTAATTAATATGTTTTCCTTGGTGGGCTTCTGGGGTTCGACCCACTGCTTCTGTGTGAATATAAAAAGGGACGGGTACGGGTCCCGGGGTCTTTCCTCGCTGTCATTCTCATGGATGATGCCATTGCTGGAGTTCATCCTGTCAACCTGCTGTATCCTGCCAAGTTCGAAGTGCCTACTACTATATGTCTGGTCATAGAAGCCTCCAGCAATGTAGAGGAACAGCTGGGACCTGCAGTCCTTCCTGAAGTCACTTGTTGCTGGATACTCCCAAGATGGACTCTTTCCTGTCCAGGTATGCTGAGGCAGCATAATACATAGGAATGTAGATCTACAAGCTGTAGATAGGGACTAGGGATGTTTGCTGTTTGCGAAAAACTGTTACCATCATCATCTGTAATGTTTAAGTTATTTCAGGTAAAGCTTTTGAAATGTTGTCCTTTGCCTGGTCTGAAGTTAATAAAGGAGTGTATGCAAGTATCCGTGTAACGTACCTGGTTGGGGACCCTGATGTGGAGAGAGGGCGTCCTCTTACCACCCCCGCTCGGGACCCTGATTGGGTAGACAGAAGGTATCGAGCTAGGAGAGGCACGAGTGCCTGACAGGTCTGCAGCGACAGCTGGCAGGTGATGACCCCGGAGGACCAGGACGCAGGTCAGTTGCAGATGCAGGTGAGCAGGTCCAGCAGCAGGAAGGTATAGCGGAGATATGGACAACAGTGGCAGCTGGCAGCCAGGAATAGTCACAGGCAGGAGAGGTAGAAGCATCAGGCAAGCTGGGTCAGGATCAATTGGGTGAATCAGGTACAGAGGAGCAGGCAACAGGATAGTCAAGGGATGAGCCGAGTTGGTGCAGGCGGAGTTCAATCGTAGTCGGGTCAAAGCAGGTAGATAACAGGAGTCAGAATACAAGCACAGAACGTAGTAGACCAGAAGGCACCATTCTAAGTGCAGCAGGGGTTTAAATAGCCTGCCTGGGCACATCAGCGTGTGCACGCGAGCGCGCAACCGTGTGCGCATGCTCACCAGCAAGGCTAACCGGCACGGCTAACGGGTACCCGGCGCTGGCGCGCAGATGCGAAACTCCTTTTCCCTGACAATCCGACACCTAGTCTACAGGTCAGTTAAAATACATTGGGGTATGAAGACAGCTCCGTAACAGTTAACACAGTGTGGAGAACAAGGAGGTGGTTACCTTTGTTTCACCTGCAGTCATGTGTGCCTGTGATAGGTGGGATAGCTTTTGGCAGGAGGAATTGTGAGCACTCTCCCCATGAACGGTCCATCTTCCATAGCAATGGAAAAAAAAATCAGAACTGCAGAGGTCTCCAGCCTGTGCACAGGTACGGAAGATGAAGAGTTATGTGGAGTGCACACATGGAGTCTGCGTTTGGTGCACAGCGGGACCCCATTCCTTTACTGGGAGTGAGGTAGCAGTAATTGCAACAAGTGAAGAAGTGGTGTATAATAACATCAAGAGGGTCAACTAGAGTTCAATCATCCATTTAAGTAAACGTACCCCATGTGCAGTGACCCTATCCTAGGTGCCTAACATAGCCCAGAAGAACCCACCCCCCAGGGTAGGCCTCCTATGTGACCTACACTTGGCACCAAACGAGGAAGGGTACATGGAGGAGATACCACCTGCCTACCCTACCTGCCCACCTGGAAGAGATCTTTTAGTGGCAATAGAATATGAGTCTGATGTTCCGCAAAGACGTAGTCAATGCTAAACATTCTAAATGCACAAGAATCCAGACCATCCTTGGTTCTTTTTCTCAGTCTTTTAAAGCTTAGTACATTTATGATGTCAGCCATGGGTTCCTAGTATATGCCAGCAGGTTAAACAACCCCAAGATTATTAAAAAGCTCCCTCACAATTTTTCTGGATCTGCCATCATGACGTATTTAAGTAGTATTTATGCCAAACAATATTATCACTCAGCCCATAATATCTGCTTTCAAAAATTCATATGGAGAAATTACAGATCATCAAAAAAAAAAAACTACATAGGATGTAATAGCTTGGGAGTTGAGCCGCGATCTTGCCTTTTTGGAGTATTGTCAAAGCTGCTGAACTCACCAACATTTATCCACAATTCATTGTTAGACTTTGGGTAGAATACTTTATAAAGTTGAAGTATGTGTATGATTTTTATGACATAGTTACATTGGTCCAGCTTGGACCAATATTTAGCAATTTTACCAACATTATTGACACTCTTTCTTCACTGAAGTGAAAGCATCCATAAAATATAATATTGTAAATACAATTGCATACCTTTCACTTAAACACATATTTTTGATTGCAGATCCTGTTCCAGCCCCAACTATAAAAAACAAACTGGAGGAGAGAAACAATCGACGGGTGTAATGTGACTCTTTATTGTTCTGTTCCAACCAACATACCATCTTAATCCTATAGCTGGAAATACAGACACAAAGACTCTGATTATCAGTTGTATAATAATACTAAAGACACAATCCAGTTATTTATCCAGCCGGAGTCCGGGAACATGGAGGTCATGTGTATAGTACACAACCCTGTTGACCAGAAAAATAGCTCTAAATATGTACATGGTTGCTCAGTTAATGAACACTCCAAAATCCTAATGAAAGGTAAGACATGCACGTACATCATATACAACAAAGAAAAAGTATTTAAAGGATTGCTAAGAAAAAAAAAAAAAAAAAACATTTTGAGGAAAGTATTGATGACACCCATGCTATTTATGTAGGAGATGATTCCAACACTTATATAGAAAGTACCGTATTTTTCGCCGTATAAGACGCACCTGACCATAGACGCACCTAGGTTTTAGAGGCAGAAAACAGGAAAAAAAAAAATTCTGAACTAATGGACTGCAGACACAGTACAGGAGATGACCAGAGACTGCGGACAGCACAGGAGATGACCAGAGACTGCGGACAGCACAGGGATGACCAGAGACTGCGGACAGCACAGGGATGACCAGAGACTGCGGACAGCACAGGGATGACCAGAGACTGCGGACAGTACAGATGACTGCTGACCTTTGGGGAGGTGGGGAGCGGGTACCTGAATTTGACAGGTACCCGATCTTCCGCAGAGTTGTTCTTTGATCTTACCTGTTCCTCGATCCAGCCGCGCGCTGTCTTCCCGGCTTCTGTAATGGCGCTCGGCATGACAGCCGGGTGCCCAAAGCGCATGAGCGAGAAGCACTTGCGCTTTGTGATTGGTCCGGCGGCTTCTGGGATCTGTCATCTGTCCCAGGTACCGCCTTACCATTCACAAAAAGCACCGCTTCTTGCGCATGCACACACTTGGCACCCGGCTGTCATGCCCAGTGCCCACACTACAGAAGTCGGGAAGACAGCACGCCGCTGGATAGAGGAACAGGTAAGGTCCCGCTGCAGAGCTGAGCGGCCGGCCCGGTATTCTGACACGGCCGCGGTGGAAATACCGGACCGGCCGCTCCATATTCGCCTTATAAGACACACTGACATTTCCCCCCCAGTTTTGGGGAAGAAAAAGTGCGTCTTATACGGCGAAAAATACGGTAATATAGGTAACTTTAGAACTTTTATATGTTCAATATGCCACACTACGTAGCCAGATAGGTGACGCTACATCACCTGCCCGCTTATTGGTGGGTGTACCTCCTGTGCAATAATGGTATTTGTTCAGTAAACAGTCAAATGAATTTGTCTACTTGAAGTAGGCTGAGTGTGACACCATGGTTTCCAGTGATGTTTGAAAGGTGGTGGTAGTTGGGGGGGGGGGGGGGTTGTGAATCACAAGGCTAATAACAAACTGTTCCACTATTACGGTTCTCTCTTTTATTTTAATATTATCAGAATCCATTATATTCGTAGGCATGTGGCTTATTTGCAGTACCAAGGAGCCACAGCTACTGCGTATTTTTGCCCAAAGGCATGTATTACAGAATTTACTGTATGTGGTTATATGTGTGTAAATGTCAGTACTTGCGTTATATTGTGCACATTTAACGTATTTCTCTGAATGCAAAAAATAGCTTTTTGAGAAAGACCTCTAAATACATGCACGTGTAAAAGTAGGTAGCAGCATTTACACATGTATTCATACACAAGTATTCTGAAAGCATGTCTATGACCAGAATTATGCAGCAGCTGTGGCTTCTGGGTTCTACAAATACAGGCGTATTTAATTCTGTATGGACGTATGCCCCTATATACACCCATGTGGAAGTGCCCTTAAAGTGCAACTAAAGTCCACAGCCATAGG